TGTACACTACAAGTCCAAAGTTTGGACACAACTTATTCCTTTAATGTTATGCAAAGCTGTGTCCAAACGTTTGACTGGTTGCGTAGCTAGCCCTTTGCTGCTTTTAAGTTTTGGCTAACCTTTTGTTGTGTTCAGCTAGTATTTTAGTAACTTTGAACTTTCAGCCAACATTAAACAATTTTTAGTTTCTACCTACTGTTTTGCTACATTTAGATTTAGCTAAGTTTTACTCCTTTTAACATCTAGCTAGGGGGTGGAGTGAGTCTGGTTCGGTGGCCACAGGATTCCATCCCTGCTATTTGCGGATGATATGGTCCAGTTGGTGTCATCATGCAATGATCTTCAGCTCTCGTTGGAGCGGTTTGCAGCTACCTCCAAATCTGAGTCCATGGTCCTCAGTTGGAAAAGGGTGRATTGTTCTCTCCAAATTGGGAGTGAGGTTCTGCCTCAAGTTGAAGAGCTCAAGTATTTTGGAGTTTTGTTCATGAGCGAGGGAAGAATGGAGTGTGAGATTGACAGATCATTGCAGACTTTGTACCGGTCTTTTGAGGTGAAGAGGGAGCTGAGCTGTAATGCAAAACTCTCCATTTAGAGGTTGGTCTACATTCCTACCCTCATGGTACACTCACACCAAACGTGTTCTGAGCTGCATGAGCAGCCAGTTTACATGCAAAGTCTATGGTGGACGCACCTCTAGGGGTCTTGCGGTGCATCTCTGTTTACCACGGCGCACAACGAATGTGGAAGGTGCAGCAGAGCATTTTCCATGCATGCCATGCGGTGAAAGCAGCCGACGCCCGAGTTAAAAAATCGGATCTTTCGATGATCGACGCGTCTTGACAACCAATCAGAGCGACTCATTTTTCCACGTGACAGTTTCCTGAATATTGCCCACAAATAGTCGGACAGGAGCTCTTTAGCTGAAATTGACCATCTGTAGTTGATGTTCTGACTGGAGATATCAGCACCGATGCGGGTCAGAAGCTTGTTAAACTGACCGCGGTGGTAAACTGGGCTCGGAATATAAAATAGTCCRTCAACTTGCAGCTCCTTGAGTGATGAACTAACAGAACAAACCACCTCTAAATCACCTGGTGAATTAATTATCTGGTGTGCACAACGGTCGCTTGCTCTTTAGTAAATATGGCAAAGCCATTTTCTTTATTTTATCTTTATTTCATCCGCCGAAGACGGACTGGAAAAAACCAAGATGCTCCTCCCTCTTCAGACATGCCTCTAGTCTCTGTCCCGGTCTGAACATAGCACTTCTAACTGGAGGCGTTGGGCGCTTTTTTGCTGCTCAAAACGCATTTGGTGTGAACGTAGCATTAGCTATGGACATGAACTGTGGATAGTGACCAAAATAACTAGATTGCAAATACAAGCGGTCAAAATGTATTTTCCTTGCAGGGTGGCTGCTCTCCCTTAGAGATAGAGTGAGAAGTTCAATTACTCGGGAGAGACTCAGAGTAAATCCGTTGCTCCTCCTCATCGAGAGGAGCCAGTTGAGGTGGTTTGGGCGTCTGGTAAGGATGCCTCCTGGACACYTCCCTAGGGAAGTGCTCCAGGTACAGTATGTCTGACTGGGAGGAGACCCCAGCAAAGGACACACTGGAGAGACTATGTCTCTGGTTTGTCCTGGGAATGTCTTGGAATCCTCCCAGAAGAGCTGGAAAATGTGGCTGAGGGAAAGAGAGGTCTGAGCCCCCCTGCTCAAACTGTTGCCCTCACGACCTGACTCTGGAACAAGTGGTGGGTGGAACATCAGTGTCGTTCAGACTGTATTTTCACAGAAAATGCCATTTTTCTAGTTTTCTTTGTGCCCCTTGAGACAATATAATACTCATAAATGTACTTTGTCGATAAAGTGGTGTGAAGTAATTTATCTAGAAACATTTTGTTCCCTCTCAGCATGTTCTTATCATCATTCAGGCGGTGTTGACACTGAACGTCAACTCTCTGGTGAAACAGCTCATTGTGTGGACGATAATTTGCAGACATTATAAAAATATTCTTATTTAATACTTAAATCTTAATTTTGTAGTTGCCAGAAGACTTGGCTGGAATCTGAATACTTAAACATTTTATGCAAAATATTCTAACTGACCACATAACAGACCTTCAGGAAGGAGAGAACCAGTTTTCAGCCATGAAAAAATGATCTTAAACACCTATTTGTTTTAGAAGTTTAAATTTCCTATTTCCTGTGCCAGCAGCGGCCCCTTGGGTAGGTTTTTGAAATGCAAATGCTCTGTATTGAAATAGATTTACCCTTTGAGTGGAAAAATACCACAAATTGCTTCTATCATTTTGTCTCGAAAGTGGGAATTTAGAGAAACCAAAGACAAAAGTAAAAAGCCAAATGTCCCTTTCAAAATCCTGAAGGCTCATTAACGCTCCTGTGGAAGATGAGAGGAAAATAAATAATAAAGAGCAAATATATTTAAAAAAGGGAAGGTATAAACACAAACCGAGGCTGCAGTTGCCCTTGACAACTGTGATAGTCCTTTCAAAACTGCTCCCGGGGGTCAGCGCTGCTTTGTCACCGTCTCCGGCAGATTCTTTCACACCGGCGTCCTCGTCCTTGAAGGTGATAATTCAACACATTTATTCACTACGGTAAATTTAAAAAAAAATACTAAATCCGATTGCAAACGTGGTGCCTCACGTCTCAGAGGATAAACGCATGTTCAGTGATTCGACCGTGAGAATTAAATTTCAAACAAACACCCTCCTAATGTTGTGTAGCCAGCATCTGACAGGTTGCGACTGACAAGACTTTTATTTAATATCACTTGTTTTAGGACTTGTCAAACCCTTAAAATGTCGATTTTGAAATAACAAGATTAGTATTTTACCTTCAAAGTATCTCCCAAGCAAATMGCAGATTCCAGCTGACATTGATTAGACTCCGCTGCGGCCTCTTGGGCTGCAGATCTGCCTCCCGCTTCAGCGAAGGGGCCGTACGAGTCGGAGCACTCCGCCAGCTCTTCTTGGCTCGGGTGCTGTGCCAAGTATTGATCCGAGCAGCTTAGGATGGCACTAATAGCCGGGATGTGACCCGTCAGACTCGCCGGAGTGTAAGAGGCCGACTTCTCCGGAGAGAACGCCGGAGAGTTGCCTGTGGAGTCCGACGAGGCGGCGAAGCTCGGATGCTCGTCCAACACGTTCAGGCGAGCTGWCAGCTGGAGTGAAACAAAGCACAGCAGAGGAATGAACTCGGGCAGAATCCACCACAATCATCCTGCTCGGCTTGTAATGAGCCACAGAAACACCATCAGTAGCTGGTGGGAAGTGGCATAAATCACTGGCACTCTGAAGGCATATGAACTTAGCACAAAATGTAAGAAAATTTGTGTTTGGTAGATTATTTCTTTGTTGTAACAATGGGCCTCATGCAAGAACATGTTCGTATTCTTATCCTAAATTTCTCTTACCTTTGTTC